GAGAAATTTCGCATCCAGCGCCTTTATGAGTAATTCGGACGCACAAAAAAAAGCAGCCTGTCCTGCTTGCTCCGCCGTGGAACCATCGCACGCCCTTCATGCCTTGCTATCCGGCGGCCTCTCGCCTTTCTCACTTCGTACTCCGTATCGTCTCCATCGAAGGCCACCGAAAAGTCGACCACTTGATCCGCTTCGTCTCCACCCGCGGCCAATGGCACGCCCGGCATCCCAAACCTCAGCCGAAACAGCATTATAAATACATTTAACTAATCGTGTCGTAGTGCTTAACTCCGTTGGATGCTCCTGTCTGGCTTCTATATTATTCATCCGTCTATGCGAGACTCACTCAACTTATCTCCGGTCGACACTGTTCGTCATCTAGCTGTTTATCTACGGGTCGAGCGATACACCAGGAGACGCCGACTAACGTAACATAAACACCAGTAGGTAGCTAATGGATACCCATTGAAGAGAGGAGAAGGCCTCAGAAGACACAGAAAGCAGCAGAAGACCAACTTTTGACCCTTCATCTGCCGCTTCAAATGGCCCCGTTCGGCTTCACTCAGCAAAGATAACAAGAGACAGCCTCTTCGTTTCATCCTCCAGCTCTCTCATCGTCGCAAATTTCACATTCTAGCACAAGCCGATAATCTGGTCCAGGGCACAGTCATCTTATACACTAGCCGGTAGCTCCGCTGGGATAACAGTCGATGGTACTAACTTTGGCGGCTGCTTGAGCACATTCATTTCAAGATAGTTGGATATCCACATCTTAGGATTTACTTCATGTTGTTGGTTGAACAAGGCTATTATGCTGTCTATAAAATAAAGCTAGTAATGCACGAAACATCTGATAATTCAAACTGCTATTGGATAAAAACTACTTTGTTGACTTAACTATATACATTTATCTATATACCTCATAAAATCATATAATGACATGAGACTGCCAATGCAAGATCTATTGTATGTCCTTGATGATGGTAGTCGGATCCGAGGCGTTATGGGCGTGTAACCCTGGGTGTAAAAAGTGGAGTAACCCTGACATAATTTATCATCTCTTGCAAAACCAATTTCATGTCGGGTCCGCTATATTTGACACCCACCACTATGGGGCCATGACGGGGGCGCTTATAACAGTATAAAAGCTCAGATCCATATTTTCTGGGGGCCGGCTGGTCCACGATAATATCGGTAAATGAAGTGAACTCCACACATGCACTGCCAGGTACCTCGGGGATGTTATAGAAATCAACACTATACCTGTAGTCACCAGGAGGCTGCCTTAGCATGAAGACTTTGAAATTGGTCAGGACGGGGAAATTATCCCTGAGCTCCGCAAGGACCGCCGACCATCCAGGTGTCTCCAAATAACTAGACTGAAGACAAAGAGTCCGCAAGGTTGAACGATATTGTCGAAGAAATTGAATGCAGGGTTCCGGTGCCGGCCAACCTGCTTTCTGCAGGATAATTTTTTCTAGAGGAGCACATCGATCAATAGAATCCCAAGCCCGATTATCAAGACCTTGTTCTGATCCTGAATATGACACGAACTTCAAACTCTTTAAACTGGTGGCAGCTTGGACTATTTCACCTAACCAGTCCAGATTGACAGATTGTTTATCGCATTCGAGCGAAAGGCTTTGAATATGGGACATCGAGGAAAGGAACCCTGGTTTCTCAAGATCCTCAAATCCCATATAGCTATCATCCATCACAGGGATCGACCTGTAGACAATGGCAAGGGAATTAAGTGGTAGACCAGTCTCGGCAATGATATAGGTGAGAATTCTAATGGCTTCGAAGGGTTCTATTCGATCTTCGGTCGAGTATTGCTCAGTGTAATTGGTAAGTTCAAGTGACTGAAGGTTTGTGAGAGATAATAAAATATCGCGTTTCCTTTGAACTGCAGGTTGAGGGATCGCAAGATAGCCTTCGAGGTCTCGTTCCCATGAGATGCCACCACCCAGAACCCCTGAACTACGATCTGGTGACATCCGAAGTGACTGGATACGACGATTGAAACGTGAGTCTTGAGATATAGCCTCGAGCTTACTCAGGCTGTTTTCCGAAAAACCCAGCTTCATTTCGGTAAGGAGTGCAGCAAAGTAGAGCTGTGTCTGCTCATAGCAGGCATTGCACGTAAGCCGAAGGGAAAGCAGATCCTCAGGTTCCAGAAACGAAACAATATTTTCAAGCAGTTCTGCTGGTAGAGTTAAAAAGCAACTATACTGACAGCTTTCAGCCGGTCCCACTTTAGTAGGCTCATCTTCTGGTCGCAGGTGATATGATGGCCGAAGGGTAAGGGACCTGAATTTCCGGATCAGCCTTTCGAATTTGGTGAACTCCATGTCCTTCCTAAAGGGCGGGTGACTGAGCAGCAGTAGCTGTAAGAAAGGAGTTGGTTATGTTTGGAAGAGAGAATATTTGAGTATGAATAGCAGATTTCGGTCGTTTCTGCGCTTTATCACTGAGAAGCGGCCAGCAAAGCTGCAACAGTCGCCGCGTGGCTATAGCCGGGATATGCTTGCCAACACAGGAAATAAAGAGCACATGCTTCGTTAAACAGCAGTTGTAGGATGGCCTCGCCACTATGTAGGCTATCCATCCTTACGCTCGCTATCCAATGGTATACGATACTTAGTGTTGGACGTTGGACATTTGATGTTGGATGTTGGAGGCTAGAGGCTGGAGGCTGGATTACGTCATCCATCCTCCAACGGGCCCATGTGGGTCGGCCCGAAAGTGTAACCCAACTCTTAACTAATTAACTGATCTTGAAGTCTGATTGGCTAACCAATTTAATAACTCATACTTCCTAACTAACCAGTTACTGGCTCTCTAAGCAATGTCTATATAATCAGCATGCAGAAAGGAGTGCTACATGGTTCTTAATGATGTAGTTACAGTCATGCTGTAAAGACTTTAATAATTTCAGCCATTAGCAACAGCTTAACTGGCTATCAATATGCTACTATAACTAAATGCTAAGCGGCACGGAGTTCTAATTATCCTCAGGAGTCCACTTTGTAATGCAGATTAATACTGCACGTAGGAGAAACCAATGTGTCATCACTCGACATTTTTTTCATATATTATATTCTGCATTACGTTTCATCCATACTTAGAAATTAATACATCATGTATAATATTATGATATCCAGATATCTACAATATATAAAAAGAGATTGCAATGATGGACAAAAGTTATTTAGAAACCCAAGCACTAATAGCCATCCTCCTCTCCCATATTGTCCTTCATATATGAGGTCCTTGCGACTATACGTTATCGGAAACCCTTAAGTACGAATGGCAAACCAAACAGCGTTACGATGGTTCGTGCTCTTAACCGGGCTTTTCCTTTTGATATGTCAGGTGCTAGCCACGCCGTGGAGAGGTATATTATCTACTTAGCTCCATACAGGATACTGAATTAAATACATAATTCCATGATGTTTCTATAGTAATGGCATTGGTACCTTAGGACATCTGGAGGTCCGAGGTAACAGTCATTCCAAGGGCAAATCGACCAACAAGAACGGGGGAAATAGGGGGAAACAAGACTCTCCACCCCGGCACGCCCTACTCCCACTTCCACATCACGACCTGCCCTGAGCAAAACAACGAGCCCTAGCCCACCAACATCAATGTCGACAACTGCCCTTGTGCGGCTCTGGAGCTCGATTCCAGTTGCTGTTACAGTCCCCATAAACAGCGTCATGGGTAGAAAAACTGACCCCGGTGTGACGGCAAGTTTTCGGACAACTTCGCTATATGGTTGCACAGCCATAGTCGTTGTCGATGAATTAGGAATGGTTCTTGGCCATATCGCCCAAGAAGGCAAAGGAAACAACATATACACCTTGGAATCGATACCACAGGTCGGGGAGTATCTTACGAAGTTTGTGAGGAACGGGGGCTTAGTGTTTGACTTTGGCAAAAAGAAAGACACGCAATAATCTACTATTCCAGAGGAAAGGCTTCCTTCACAGGAGGCAGAATCGACATTGGGCTTAACTGCATCAAAAACTATCTTGTCACCCTAGGCGTCCAGGAAGCAAATGTGCATTTCTCGCAGTATACATCAGGAGGCCCTACTGTCGGTCCTCGAAGCAAACTTGTGGTGGAAAGTGTCTATGACAATAACGCAAGGAGAACAAACGTATATATTGCGAAGGAAGACCCTATTTGGCAAAGAGACTTTACCAAGCCACTCAGGCCAGCGCGATTCAACATTCAGCCGGGACCGCCACTTCCTCGGCTCTCGCATAATGATTAGGTGGCTTTTGAAAGGCACTGTGACTTCACAGCCGGTTGAGTTGTGCCGAGGGTATCTTAACCAGTTGGTTGGCGAGTTGAGCAGGAGGATGGTTACCTATAAACTATCTAAGTAGTCAACTTGCTTCCCCCATGCCCGTTAACTAGTTGTGTGACTCCTCAAGCAGCCTATAGATGCCACGATACAGCCTATGTTTAGTTGATTCTTCTTTTGCGGTGGTTGAAAATTGGTCTTAACTCGTTTTTCTCTAAGTCAGTTATTCAATGGCAGTGATGCTCGACGTTGGATGTTGGTCAATATTGGATTATCTTACAATATCCTCCTTACCTCCTCTCCCTAACCACATTTTCCATTTCTATTCTATAATATTGCTTTATTCCGTCCCAAAACATCACATCCCGCGCGAAAGTGACCGAGGAATCGAACTTGACAAAAACAAGGATGCTTGGGTAACTACCATGACAAGCAGATTCAGCAAAATAACTTAACCACCCACTGTAATTCCTTGAAAGCGCACGCCAAGTAGTATCCGGGGAACATTGATGCTGGTGGTAGTTTGCATGTCGAGCAGAAAGAATCCGAGTCCTATTTCTTCCTGTTAACACTCTTTCCACCACTGAATCCCAATGGTTGTGTTGAGAGCGCAGATTTCAGCCGAAGTGTTCTATAAGGAAACCCTATTCTTGAGATTTTTGCAGGACATCCAAACACACAGAAGGTTTCGGGATAAGTGCTGGCTAAAAGGGCTTGGGCCGGTCTTGTGCATTATTTGATTACCCCACATGCTGATACAGCGGAGAAGGGCTTGCAAGTTGAAATGATAACTCCTTTGCGCATGGTTTTCCCAGAAGATATATCCCTTTCTCCAGGAGGAAAATAGCGCCAACAACGTGGTTTCATCGTTAGAGCAGTCTGTACTGTCCACCGGAAGAGGCACCTAGTGGAATTCATTGTTAAGGCTGCAAAAATGGATGCTGATGTTTCTGTATGAGGCTAATCGCCAAGGGTTATATCTCTGATGACGGAGTGCCTATAAGAATGATGTTCTCGACCTGCATCCAGATCAGCAATATAGTGACAACTTTGGCTGAATCCATGGAGATTCGGCCCTCGTTAGACAACCTGAATGCTAACTAACTACTAACTAGTTAACTAGTTAGGCCAATGATTCATCCTTGAACTCGCAACAGTCCTTCGAATCTTCGCTGTAACTAGGTACCTAGTTATATTTAATACCTAACTTTTTAAGAAAGTCGATAAATAGAATGGAACTCAGAAAGTAAATTAAATAATGAAAAAATCCGTCATCTGATGTCTGGCCCTGAGAATAAAAAAGGGGTATGCCAGGTGCCTGATTTGTCAGCTGGCCGGTTTTTTAGCGCGCGTTTTTCGGTTTTTTGCGAGACAACGACCATGTTAGTTACGTTGTAGCCCTTCTACAAAAAAGCGAGAAAAGAGATTATATGTTTGAAAGGATTCCATTCAGATATGAGCTCAACAAGGACCATCTCTGAAGTCAAGCTCGGTTTTCTTCGTGACCAAATTCGCGTGCTGTCGGCGCCGCTCAGCCCGTCCCCTGACTGGCGCGAATACGGTCCTGCCACTGAGGACGACATCGGCGAGAAGGCCATCAGTGAGGTATTACAAAAATGTAAATAAGCTGCTGTTATATATACCCTCTCACTTGCTTGTCAGCTCGCGCTTTTTTGCATTCCATACATGTCTGTGAGCCCTTTGTTGACGGGATAAGAATGCAGTCAACACGCTTTTGAAACAGCATAACCGTGCCGTCTTCTCGACACAGGCAATACATCATGTCTCCCAGCAGATTGAGCGGCTTTACTGGGATTCCATCAGCCCGGAGTTTGGCCAAGAGGGTTCCCGACAGCCTGACATTGACAAGGGAGCTGATCTTACGAATGCCAGGTATGCCGAAGATTGGACATTGTGAAAATGTACGTGTGGGCTGATTCTCAGCAAAGGAATATCTCCAAATTACCGGATGAGTGGCTTGAAGACGGGGTAGATGAGGAGGACAAATCTCGGTAAGAGGATCTACTTGACCCGCAATATACGTTTATGTCTGCAACGGATGTTGCTTACGCAGGTGAAAAGATATAAGTTTCTTCGAGAAAGACTTGTCAAACTTGATGCAGAACGAAAGAAAAGGGAGGATAAGCTACTCCAATACAAGCACTTGAAGAGCTTGTTGGAACCGTTTGAAGATCCATTGAATACCATCCAGCCTAATCTTGCTACAAGGGACGGGGAACTCGGGGCAGAGCTAGACCGTATGAGGATGCTGCTGGCCAAGGTCGCAAGCAAAGTTGGGAAAATTCAGAGCGACACTCAAAACTCCGAGAAAAAAGCAGAAGAAGAAGAAGAAGAAGCTATTATGGACACAGATGACAAGCTAGCCAGACTGCTGGATATGACTTGAGCTGATACTTGTTCTTTATATCTGGTATCGTGGAGCAGGCAACAACCTTGAGAAGACAAGCCGGACTCCAGGGTTAAAAAGCCAGGAAGTAGGTAATGAAGTGGAACATAAACGTACCACACATATCCTCGCACCCATCTGAAACAGCAATCGAGCCGCATTTTACTATATAGATGGTAAATACCATCACCCCCTCCACCTCCACGAAGTCAATCGGAGGGATTAAATTTCAAATACAGCAGAGAGAGCATGGTTTAATCACTATAGCCTGAGTGCATGAATAGATCTAGCCATTGTATCAGGGGATGTTTCCTGTCCAGTCCTCTTTATAGCCGGGTATTGAAAGATCTATGTACAATAGAGTCAGCCAGATACATCTATGACTACCTAACATAAAGACTTGTCTTTCTCTTGTGTATCTACCTGATCTATCTTGTTGATATGTGATTGAGATGGCCGCTTAGTCGTTTGTTACTTCACTATAAAAGAAGTAGAAAAGTGAACTCCTACAAATAAATAACTTCCAACTTCAACAAACCAAAAATAACTGCAACATCTACAACCATCTACTCCAACAGTAGTGCTACAAACTGACTTTATCTGCTTTTAGCTTACATCTTCACCCTTATCCTCCTCCCTCTACTGCTCTTCCCTCTGATCTAGATATTCACGTGACTGTCACTGTCACTCTTCGGAATGGAAGAAATCATGTCCCGGAACCTTCGCTCACCTTTTGATGAAGATGCAGGTAAGCAAAGAAGAAGAAAACAAAAACATCCTCAGCTTCAGCTGCAGCTGCATCCTGAACGCGATATCTGACTCGAAATCCGACTTGTCAATCGTTTAGGATCTGAGTCTGATACGCCTATCTCGCCCGCCCTCATCCGCCAACGCCGCGCGAGCCGTCATCGCAGGAACAGGACCTCAGTTACCAACGAAGACCTGATCAGCTTCCGCGAGAAGATACTCGGTATTCCACGCTCAGAGCAGCCTGCTATCCCCCGTCCTGAGCCCAAGGAAGAGGAAGAGGATTTTTCTGCTATCAACGCTGCTATTGCAGCTTTCAGCATGTCTGTAAACCAAGGCAGCCCAAGCATAGCTAATAATACGAACGCCAACAACACTTCCTCTGCCACTGCTTCGTCTAGCTCAGCCAGTGGAGCGTCTACCTCAGGCTTGTTCACCAACCTCTTTGACTCGAACAACACCGCGAACGCGTCTGGTAACTCTGCAGGCATGTCTGCTCCTCGTCATAGCAACTCTGCTCCCCCCAGCCCCGCCATGATGAATGGTACTCCAGCAATGCCAGCGATGAACGCCTCTTTCCCAATGAACGCTGGACATCAGATGGATCTTAATCACCTCTATGCCATGGTGAATGAACTGAGCGAGGTCCTGAAAAACAACCGTGACTTGACCAGTGGCATTATCAAGAGTGCTGAAGATATTGCTGTATGTCCTCTGCTCCACCACTTGGTAAAACAAGATAGATGCTAATTTGATATTATATAGCGTCGTGCTGCAGCTGAAGGAACCACACCAAACTTGCAAGAAGTCAATGGGGAAATCTCTGGTATGAGTTATATATTACGTTGTTAACAAGTGCAATACAGCAACTAACATGTCGATAGCCACACGCATTGCCGAACTTGAGCGTGCCCTAGCCAGAGAAAAACGTCGCGTTGAGACACTCCGCCATGAGCAGGTTGAGAACATGAAGCTGATCGCCGAATACGAGAACGCGGTTGGTACTATGGTCGAGCAGATCCGCAACTATTGCTGCAACAACGAAGGTCATTTTCTCTCCCAGAAACGCCGCTACAATGACCTTCTGCAAGCCGAACGAGATGCGCACCTGGCATCCCGTCTAGACCGTGACTATTGGCACGCGCAGACCATGAAGTGCGCCGAGATGATCCGAACAGCCTACCGTCTGCGGTGCGAGGAGGAAGAGCTACCTCTACGCATCGTGGCTGGGCTGCAGAATGAAGTGCGTGCCTACCGCAACGCCCTGGGTATGGACCCAGAGAAGCCAGAGGAGGAGTGGGGATGGGAGATCCTTAAGGATGCTCCCCCAGGCGTCGAGTAGCCTGGGAGCTCGAATTGCTCTCCCCCTCCGTCCGGGTGTGGGTTCCCTCTTCCTTTTCTTTTTGTCTTTGTTACCCGGCAGTTTGGCCGGAGGCGTTAGGGGCGCTATGAAGATACCCATGGGGTCACGATAGAGAAATCCTTTTTTTCCCGGGCATGGCGTTGGATTTCCTGGAGGGAGCTCTGATAATGAATCTGGTTTCTTATTTCGCAACCTCCTAATGCTATTTAATGATTGTTCATGCATTAATATCTATCATGGTGAAGAGGAGGAGAATTGATGATTTTCTGCATTGGCTTAAGAACGAAATGATCTTTGTTTCTTCGTATTCGTAGATGCATTCGTAGGTGCTAGATGTCTTCGTAGACTGACGTTGATACCGCAAAGCGCCACATATCATGAACCTCGGCTTAACTGAGCTTCGTCCATTTCTACCAGCTTTCTCCGGCTATTCATTCTCAAGGAAGATACATATGCCCTAGCTATAAAAGAAACGGAGTGAACCGCTGGCCGGCTCTTTGACACCAAACACGATGGAAAAACGGCCGAGAGCCCTTCTCTTTGACGTTGGCGGCGTTTGCGTATGGCTTTGGGCTCTCCTACTCCCGGTGCAAAGGGCTCAAAAGCTAACAAGAGAGACCGCAGGTTATATCCCCGTTCCAGGCAATTTTGGACTACGAAAAGGCCAACAAGATACCTATTGGATGGATCAATTACAGTATACAGCATACCTCGCCTGACGGGGCATGGCACCGACTGGAGCGAGGCGAAGTTCCTCTGGACGCGGCCTGGTTCAAGTCGTTCAACAGCGACTTCCGCCATTTTCACCTATGGAAGAAGTTCCTCGAGCAGTCATCTACTCGGCCTACCGGAGAGAATGGCAAGAAGATTCCTGATATGCCGAGCGTAGATGCAGAGTATTTGTACTGGGAGATGATGCGAGTCGCCCAAAGGCCCGATCCATACATGTTTGCCGCACTACAGAAATTAAAGGACTCCGGGCTGTTCATTATGGGTGCTCTGTCAAATACCACCATTATACCCAATGAGACAAGCAAGCTTGACAAGACGCCTGACCATGCGGGCGAGCAAGTGAAGCGATTCTTCGACTTTTTCATCTCCAGCGCGCACACGGGGTTGCGCAAACCGGACCCCAGAATTTACGAGCTAGCCTTACGGGAGATTAACGATGCTAGGAAGGCTAAAGGGATAGAAGGAGGGGATATTCGGGCGGAAGAAGTGGTGTTTTTGGATGATATCGGGGTGAATCTGAAATGGGCGAAGAAGGCTGGGATGGGCACGATCAAGGTCGATTTGGGGCGCACAAGAGAGGCAGTGAAAGAGCTGGAGAGACGAACGGGCTTGACTTTACTGGAAAGCAAGCCGATGATATAGAATATGGATGCATGATCAGTTATTTATTGATACAGTTGATGGAAGATCTTGAGGGGTGTAATATCTAGAAGGACAGCTCGATAGTAAGCAATCAACCACCGAGTAATATAGAACTATCCGAATGAGCGTATTGGTAAAAGAGCAATCGATATCCCAATCCTAGTCGTGAATAATAAAAATGCCTGATACGGAGTACTGGTGTGTCAATTGATGTCTTACGATGCCCTCGTCGTCGCCAACCCAGCTTTTTTTGGCTGCTGCAAGTTTGCCGAAGAAAACCCCACAAATAAATTTCTTCGCACACAGAAAAAGCGGCCGACGAACTTCCTGCAACTGACGCCAGCAACAGAAGACTAGCAGCACCAGCAGCAACGCCGTTGAGCAGCCGTCAAGATGGTAAGTGTCTGCTTCAGAGGTCCTTGACTCTCTTCTCGTCGTCGAGTCGCTGGAGTCTTGCAAGATGCTTCGGAGACGACCAGTCTGAAGCGCAAATTGCTGACTCGCGATGTTCTTTACAGCCTTTCACCAAGCTTGTCAAGAACCGCCCATACTTCAGGTAAGTCATTGATGATGGGCAGAAGAAGAAGAAGAAAAGCTAATTGTCTTGTACAGTCGCTTCCAGACGAAGTTCAAGCGCCGTCGCCAGGGCAAGACCGACTACTACGCCCGCAAGCGTCTCATCACCCAGGCTAAGAACAAGTACAACTCGCCCAAGTACCGCCTGGTCGTCCGCTTCACCAACCGCGACATCATCACCCAGATCGTCACCGCTGAGATCTCCGGCGACAAGGTTTTTGCCTGCGCCTACTCCCACGAGCTCAAGCGCTATGGCATCAAGAACGGCCTCACCAACTGGTCTGCCGCCTACGCCACTGGTCTCCTGCTTGCCCGCCGCACCCTGAAGAAGCTCGGCCTGGACGAGGACTTCACCGGTGTCGAGGAGCCAGATGGTGAGTTCACCCTGACCGAGGCCGCCGAGACCGACGAGGGCACCCGCCGCCCCTTCAAGGCCGTCCTCGACGTCGGTCTTCACCGTACCTCCACCGGTGCCCGTGTCTTCGCTGCCATGAAGGGTGCCTCTGACGGTGGTATCTTCGTGCCCCACTCCGAGAGCCGCTTTCCCGGCTACGACATCGAAAGCAAGGAGCTCGATACCGAGACTCTGCGCAAGTACATCTTCGGCGGTCACGTTGCCGAGTACATGGAGGGTCTTGCCGACGACGACGAGGAGCGCTACCAGGGCCAGTTCTGCAAGTACCTTGAGAACGACCTCGATGCCGGCGAGCTCGAGGAGATGTACTCCAACGCCCACGCTGCCATCCGCGAGGACCCTTTCAAGAAGGACGAGGATGCCGGCCCCAAGAAGAGCAAGGAGGAGTGGAAGGCCGAGAGCTTGAAGTACAAGACCCCCAAGCTCTCCCGGGAGGAGAAGAGAGCCCGCGTCGAGGCAAAGATCCGCGAGCTCGCATAGACGTCTTCCTCTTTCCTTCACAACCACCACTCCTCACCCTGACCATCGTGTGTTAGAAAATCAATACAAATGGGAAAATGCATCTGG